AGATAAGCCTACTAATACATGGTGATTCAGGACAAATATCTCATTTTATTCCTTCCTTTTTGGTAACTTCAGCAAAGAGTCTAAATATTCCTTTCACTGTATTGTAACACACTCCTTCAAACCATGAGGGGACTTTTTCATTTATGAGGACATAGGTTGTAAATCAAACACAGCATTCATTTCTACTCTGCCCCACCCTCCTGTGGCACTCAGCTAAAAATAAAAAAAGGACCTGGACGCACATATTCACAATCTTACAAATCTGTATTATAAGAACAGATTACAGTGGTCCTGTGACCAAAAGAGAGTGACTCTTTTGGTCACAGGACCACTGAGCATCTGCAATCTGTTCTTATAATACTACTAATTATTAATTAATTACTATATTAATTAATATATTAATATTTCATATAATATATTAATTAATATAATGATCATAATCCGTGCATCTGTCCTGAATCCCGCAGCTGTATTCAGTACAGATGTCAGGTGTACGCTGGTGGACTTCCCTTTTGGTGAGAGTAAATGCAAACAAGAAGCATCACTTTTTAAAGCCTTTCTTCTCGGTTTTTACTGTAAATGTCGCTTCTGTTTTTCACAGCAACACAGAGTCATTTCTCCAAGTAAAGGTAAAACATCTGGAACTTTTCAGTATTTCAGACTTTAGGATTTAGCTTTCTTACTGTTTAGCTTTAAGTTGAGTCATGTTGTAAACAAATGTTCACTCTATTAGTTTAGTTTCATTGCTGTGTTCATTGAATTGAATTGAATTGATATACCTTTATTAGTCCCAGTGGCGGAGTGGGGGGTGGCTTACTGGACTTAAGCCCGGGTTGTTTTTTCAGAAGCCCGGGGTCTTTTGGAGTGTAATTTTTTCATAGTTAGATGCCTGGCTGACAACTGTATAAACAAAAAACTACACACAATATTCGAAGGACATAGTGCACACTGTGGGAATTTACGACTGTGCGTAAATCCCCTCTAATATTGGTATGATCCGAGCTCAGACACTAAGCGATTGAGCGAGGGGGCGGAGGGAGCTGCTGCCTGCAGTTTGCTGTTGGAGAAGCACAGCGAGGCAGACAGAGGAGAACTGAAGTTTGACCAGGGACCAAAGCAAATCATTCGTACTGTACAAATAATGTAAATATGACGGTGCATCACGAAAGATTGATATCAAACTGATCACTTGACCCATATTTCGTTACTTGCTCTTCGAGTGAATCAACAAATGGCGAAATGAAAAGCCGAACAACAACAATGCTGTTTTTTTTAGAGAGTCTTAGCTTACATGTGTGTTTATTTCATATTTTCAGTTGTTTCCCTCCACGGCTAAATAAATCGGTTTCAGTAATGTACTGATATACAAGAATGGACATAAGCAGCTTCTTTCAAAGAAAAAACTCAGGTAGATGTTATTTTATTTATTATGCTTTGTATGTTGTTCAGTGTATTTCTATGCAAAACGAGGAATTTCAATACACAGCAGTATATTCACAGTTTAAACCAGATATTTACATACACTTTATGGAAAACACAAGAACATTTTTTTTTACTGTACAACATCAATTTAGAGTAAACTTGTTTTGTTTTGGATAAATAAATATTGAAATATCTTTTGAATTAGTTAAATGTCAGAATAAAGAGAGCTGTCTATTTTTTATCACTTTCATCAAATTTAGGAGTACATATACACTAAGTTTATTGTTAATTAATAAGAAAACTCCAGATGATTCCATTCTGAGCTGAAGAAGCTTCTGATAGGTTAGTAGAGTCCATGTGAGTAAATTGGTGGCACACCTGTGGATGCATATAAGGCAAAACACAAAGCCTGTTTCTTTGAAATGGGAAAATCAAGAGATGTTAACCAAAACACCAGGAAAAGAATTGTCGACCTCCATAAGTGTGCTCAATTTTGAGTACTATTTGGTGCCATTTACAATTAAGAAATGCAGATAGTTTCTCTCTTTACTCTCAAATTTAACAAATATGTTTTTTATATTTATCAATCAAAAAAAAACAAAAAACATTTAGTCTGATTTGATGTTACAATTAAAAAAGTGTTTGTGTTTTTTATCTGAAGAGTATGTAAATATCCAGTTTCAAC